GGGGAATGTGTGGTGGGGCGTGGGGCGGGCGGGGGGGTGGTGGCGGGGGGGCGGGACGGAGGGAGCGGAAGGAGGAGGACAGGGGGTTAAGGAACTTGGCATCGCTCGGACGTGTGCGTTTTTCTTTCGGCGAGGACCATCGAGGAGCATCCTTGATCATTTGGCGAAAAAAACCACGCACGAAACCGAAAAAAGCACAGGGAATGGACGTCCGAGAGATGGCGAGGGAAAGGTCTGTGGAAGGAAGGGAGCGGGCGCGGGGAGGAGGGCGGAGCGGAGGAAGAAGAGAAAAGAGGGCGGGGGCGGGGCGTGGCCGGTGGGGCCGCCGAGGGGGCGCCGGGGCCTGGGGGCCCAGGGCGGTTCAGCTCTGCTGACTTGTGGAGGTCGGTTAAGGGAGAGGAAGCATGTTGCCAAAGCATTTCCAGATGTCTACGACATGTTTCAAACATGTTTTACACGTGTTAAAAGCATGTTCAAAACATGTTTAGAGCATGTTTCCGTTATTACTAATCACATTAACAAAAATTCAATGATAGGACTGTTAGAGTGTCCATTGTCATAGCATCCACAATGCTTGACTGCGTCCGATCTGCTCCACCACTGCCACTCCATTACGAGAGTGCTTGTTGTTAGCCTCTGAGCCTTATCCACGCCCCCTCGCGCTGCGACAAAGTCACGACGGGAGGCTTTGTAAAATTTTCGGCTTCCGGGGTCCCCCCACCGTGCCTCGGGGCCGTCGAAAAATAATCCGGGACGAGAAACCAGTCCGGGGGAATGGGTCGAGACCTCTGGGGGTGACGTTGCGACAAAAATCACGACATCGGGGGTCTGGGTAACGCGCGTTATGCGCCCTCCCCTCCCCCCCTCCCCCCCACCACGTAAGACGCTCCCCCCGTCAGTGCGTCCCTGGCACTGCCGCAGTGCGTCCGGCACCACAGTATCGGGTGGGTGTGGGGGGTGGGGGGGGGGGCGCTACGTTATGCCCAATCCCGTCCCCCCTTCCCCCCAATAACGCCCGTTATTGCCGCGAATGAAAGAATGCGTTCTACCTCTCACATCCCTTCTGTGTTTTGGCGGAGAGACTGGCGTAGGCCCTCCGGTCGAAGCGCCGATGAGTGCGGTTGCGGGCACGGCCATGGGCCGATCGAGACGCTGGCATCTTCTTCTGTCAATCTATGGTGTTTCAGTCCGGGTGTAACAACCTATAAAAGTGTTGTGTGTTTGCGTTTGTTTCCATATGCATAATTTGCTTTATCGAATGGCCTTCTGCCCATCCCGCCACCCTGCCTGGGTTGGGGGTCAGAGTTATTAGGGATGCGCTTTGGGGTGTCTTCGGAGCACTCTCGGGGGCCATTTCAGGGCCTCTGGGGAGCTTCTTGAGGGCCTCTTGGGGGCCTCGTGAGGCCTCTCGGGGGCCTCTCGGCGCCTCTTGGGGGCCTCCTGGGGGCTTCTTGGGGCCTCCTGGAGGCCCCTCGGGGCCGAGAGCTCGAAATGTCTGTTCGGGTTCCCCATCTGGGACCCCTCTTGGAGCCGTCCTGGGGCTCTCTTGGGCTGTTTGGGGGCTTCTTGGGACGTCTGTGGGCCCTCTTGGGCTGTCGTGGAGCCCTCTCGGGGGCCTCTGGGGACGTCTTGGGGCGATCCTTGGGTTTTTGGGGGGTCTTCGATGCTGTGAAAGCCGAGGAGGCGAATATGCAACAATCGTATGTGTCCCGAAGGGAATGCGACGATGTTTGCTTATTGGGACGCTCGTTGGGCCTCCTCTCGGAACTCTTTTGGGACGTCTCGGGGACCTCCTGGGCCGGCTGACGGCCATCTTGGCTATGTGATTCCTTGCACTGTCCTGGGGGCTTCTCGGGGCCCCCTTCGCCCGTTTGGGGGCCCTGCTGGGCTGGGTCACCGTTCAAGAGGCCCGCGAGACACATCCCAAGAGCGCCATAACACCCCAAGAGCGCCCAAGAGCGCGCGGAAGCGCCTTGGAAATTGTTGGTCTGGGCCCTTAAGAAGAATTACAATCCTGACTGCAGCAGCAGCAGCACAGCTGTTAGCCTCGGGCCACTCAACTTCGTGCTAGAGTCACGGGGGAGGATTCGTGGAGCTGAGCATGAGGAGCGGAAGAGGCTGGAGGGGAAAGTAACAATAAAGGTAAGTAGCACCCCGCAGTTACGGATAAGAGTGGGGGTGGCGGCGGAGTCGTCGGCAGTCTGCGCGGCTCCGAGAACCATCCGCAAGCGCCGATTTTACAAGGTATACAGCGAGCCTGCCGCAGGCGACGGCTTTTTCCGTCCAAGCAATGTGGGTGGTTCGCGGGTGGGTCGCGGGTCGGTCGCGGTTTGGTCGCGGGTGGATCGCGGGTGGGTCGCGGGGTGGGTTGCGGGTGTTTGCGGGGTGGGTCGAGGGGTGAGTCGCGGGTGGGTCGCGGATGGGTCGCGGGTGGGTCGCGGGGGGGGTCGCGGGTGGGTCGCGGGTGGTCGGGTAGCTGTCGGGTGGGTCGCAGGTGGGTCGCAGGCCGGGTCGCGGGCGGGGGTGTCGGGTGGGTCGCTGGGTGGGTCGCGGGTGTGTCGCGCCTGGGTCGCGGGGTGGGTCGCAGGTGGGTCGCGGGTTGGGTCGCGGGTGGGTCATTGGTGGGTCGCAGGTGGGTCGCGGGTGCGTCGCGGAGTCGCGTGTGGGTCGCGGGTGGGTCGCGGGTGGTTCGCGGGTGGGTCGAGGGGTGGGTCGCGGTTCGCGGGTGCGTCGCGGGTGGGTCGCGGGTGGGTCGCGGTTAGGTCGCGAGTGGGTCGCGGATGTGTCGCGGGTGGGTCGCGGGTGGGTCGCAGGTGGAGATTGTTTTTTTATCCTTTGGGGGGTAACGCTCGTTACCCGGGCCTCTCCCCCCCCCCCCCCCCCGTAACGGTAACGCTCGTACGCGGGGGGGGTCTCGGTCTTCCCCTCCAACATGCTGGTGCCCGAAGGCATGCGCACTGTGGTGTGGTGGTCGCAGGCGCACTGTGGGCGCTCGCAGGCCATTGCGGCGCTCGCATGCGCGATGCTGGTGCTTGCGGGCTTTGCGCTTGTACTCGAATCGTCGTCGTCGTCGTCGTCGTCGTCGTCGTCGTCGTCGTCGTCGTCGTCGTCGACGGCGCCCGAAAACGGCCTCCGGAGGCCGAAACAGGCGGCAAACGTCGTCGTCGTCGTCGTCGACCTCGTCGCTCGTCGCTCGTCGATCATCGTCGTCGCGCGCGCGGGCGCGGGCGTGGTGCCGGGACCACGCGGCGGGCTTTGCGCTTGTACTCGAATCGCAAGCCACTGTGGTGCTCTCAGGCAGAGAGTGCTGCTCGCGCGCATACTATGGCGATCGCAGAGCGCCCCTGCTTCGCCATACCCCGCCCAGCCCAAGCGTTACCGTTACCCGGGGGGCACGACCCCCCCCCCGGGTAACGAGCGTTACCGGCCGGAATAAAAAAATGATCTCGTGGGACGACAACAAACAACAAACAACGCAACGACAACAATCCGCACCGCGGAACCCAATGTCAGCCACGCGCCCATGGACAGTGAATGACCGTTCAGGCCTCTAACTCTGATCATATGTAATTCGCCGTCATACGTAGTAGCAGCAGCTGTCGCGGTAGCAGCACCTGAGTGAATAGTAGCAGCACCACTCGTAGTGAGGTCGACGTAGTCGCAGTTGCCTTAGAACTGGTTCGGGAATTGCATTGCTTGGGTGAAGGGGAGACGAAAGTGGCGAGGGAAAGACGTCAGGTGAATGAACCAAGCTGGAGGAACAACTCTCCTCTCTCTGTTTCTTCTTCCCTCCTCCTCGCCCGTAAGAGGGAGAGACGAGGGACGGGAGAGGAGGAAGGATCTATATTTATACAGGAGGAACAGGGGCAGAGGACAAAAAGCAGGAGAGGGATAGCGTTGGTGGCCAGGACACGTGTCCCGCTGACAGAGAGGCAATGTGTTGCTGATTCCGCGAAATCTGCGCTGTTTCACCAAAAGGCCATCCGCCGTCTCCTCTGATATCTATCAACGATGTTGCAATGCACCATCCACTCCCAAGTCCTCTCCTCATTAGACCTTCATCAGGCGATCGCAAACATGGATCAAGGGAGCGTGAATTAGCGACGGGTCCCGCTTCCATGGGAAAACGCGGACTTCCGCCGCTGAACGAGGCGACACTGACCGCATTTTGGGGAGGGCACCTCCCCCGATCCATGGATTTTGCGACCGCGCGCCAAATCCATCGATCGCCCCCGACTTCTTCGAGCTATAAGGAAGTTGACAATGTGGGGTCGGACAGTTTTCGGAATTGACACATGGCAGCCCAGCTTTGAGCAGGAGCCCCAGGCGAGACCCTGCACTAGAGAGAAGGGACACCAACCATCCGTACAGCTGCTGCATACAGTTGTACCTGTGGCCTCCTCCTCCTCCTCCTCCCTCGCCTCCTCCTCCTCCTCCTTCTCCTCCTCCTCCTCCTGTACCACCACGAGGAAGTGTCAGGCGGTAGCCGTAGCCTCATATCGACAAGGAGCAACCCTCCACCCGTGTAGCTGTTTGATCTGTTTATGTCAGGCGATCGCGAACATGGATCAAATGGGCGTGGACTAGCGAAGGGCCCTGCTTCCATGGGAAATCGTGGATTTCCGCGGCTGAGCGAGGCGGCGCCGGTAGCATTTTGGGGAGGGCACCTCCCCCGATCCATGGATTTGGTGACCGCGCGCCAATTCCATGGATCGCTAGCCCATGTTAGCGCGCCCCCGATTAAGACGAGCGTGCGTGGCGCCAAGGTGAACACCCAATGTTGAGAACTCGCCGCTCCCCATCCGTTTGTAGATGTTTTGAGACGAGCGGGTGCGGTGCAAAGGTGGGAGCCTCATTCTTCGTCCTCCACCCGTGTAGCTGTGTAATCGCTGAATCTATATATATATATATATATATATATATATATATATAGGAGTGTGGGGGGGGGGGCCAAGGCGACAGCGCAATTTCGAACACGGTCCACCTTCCAGAAGCGAAACCTGTGCCATTTTGAAAACGGCCCACCTTCAGAAATGAGATTTCTGGAAGATTTCGGTTGAGCATCGTCGTCGGTGGGAAAATCTCGGGTGAAACGTTTGGCCCGCCCTAGCGACGACAAGGAGGAGTTCTCAGAAGGAAGTCGGAACGGAGGATGATGACGCCGGAGGAGGGTAATCATCGAGAACATGAACCCCTAACCCTAACATACACGATGATGACGTGGCCTCACTGAGGTCCCCGCCTTTTGCATCAGGGATAACAGATCTGGACGGTTTGGCTCGATACATTTGCAGAAAAGACCCCGCATCCCTGATGTTTTTGACTCTCCGAACTTAGGTCCCCTCCCAAAGGGTTAGCGGTCCTTTTATGGTTACTTAGGTAAGGACTCCAGAATCGGGAGGGGCAGGAGAGGAGCAGCAGCAGCAGCAGCAGCAGCACGGCGATGGGAAGGGCACGCCAGCGTTTGGACATCGTACCCCCGCCTGGCGTGCGGACCATCTGCCATCCTCCGCCGTGCGCCTCCTCGCCCTCGCCCCTCCTGCCTCCCCTCCCTCCCTCGCGAGGCTGGGACGAGTCCGGCGCAGCGTCGTCGGGCCCCAAGCCGCCTGGCATGCAGAAGGGCATGAAGGGTGGGTCAGCAGGACCCCCCCCCCCCCGCCCCGCCCCGACGCCCGAGGCAGGCCCGAGGCAGACGCGGAGGATGAAGACAGAGGGGAGGAGGGCCGGCCCAGGAGGGAGGAGAGAGAGGAAGGAAGGAAGGAGGAGGAGGAGGAGGAGGAGGAGGAGGAGGAGGAGGAGGGGGGAGGAGGAGGCGGGGGAGGAGGAGGAGGAGGAGGGGGAGGCGGAGGCGGGGAAGGAGGAGGAGGAGGAGGAGGCAGGAGGAGGAGGAGGAGGAGGAGGGGAGGAGGAGGGGAGGGGAGGAGGGAGGAGGAGGAGGAGGAGGAGGAGGAGGAGGAGGAGGAGGAGGAGGAGGAGGGGGAAGAGGAGGGGAGGAGGAGGGAGCAGAGAGCATATAGAGGTTATGGCGTTTACGAGACGCGCATGCGCCCGGCTGTCCCCAGGATCGATACGACCGTTCAGTTCGCCTCCGAGGTTTGCTTAGCTTAGAATGTCGAAGAAGCAAAAGCGCCATAAACATCAACGTTTGGCACTCCGCGCGGATTTCTTGGATCCGCGCCAGGCCCCCCCCTCCCTGGCGGCGCCTCCGGCGCCGCCCCTGACGCGCTCCGCGCGCCTGGGAGGGGGGTCCAGCGCAGATCCGAGAAATCCGCGCGGAGAGCCAAAAGGTTATGTTTATGGCGTTCTTCTTTTTATGATCGGGCCGAACGAAAGGGGAGGATAGGGGAAGGGGGGGTACGAAATTTGCTGCATGCAGCTGGTTTCGGCCCCGCCGCCAGGCCCATGCCTCGATGCACGGGCGCCTCCCGGCGCCGGGAGGCGCTGGGAGAATCAGCAACGTAAGTTGATTCTCCGTTCTACCCTTAAGTCGGACCTGCCCCTCTACAGGAGGAATACCCGAATGAGAAGGCAACACAAAAAATATGGGGACGATTCGTTTCAGCATCTTTGCTGCCATTTGCGATCATGCTCTGGGTACTTTTTTACTTGTTCGCCCAAGCTCCCCCTGCAGGGAGACATGCCCGAGCTCCCCCTGGTTCTGTCATTGTCCTGGCAAGTTTGGGCCAGCCGTTCGTTTCACTTGATGCAGAACTTGAGTTTCCCGTCCGCGGGGCCCTGCTTCCAGAGAAGCTCCAGAGATTTCTGGAGGCCCCCTTGGGAGGAGGGGGAGGAGGAGGAGCGCACAAGAGGAGGAGGAGGAGGAGGACAATCTCTGCAGATCGAAAGAGGCATCTCACTCCGAGGTTTGTCTTACATTCTCCCCTAGGGGGCCACATGCGAACCCTACCCCTACCCCCGACGATTTCTGAGGGGGAGGGTGGGGTTTACTTCGTTCGGGAGCTCTCGAGCGAAGTGAACCCCACCCACCCCCCTCAGAAATCGTGGGGGGGGCAGGGGCAGGGTTCGCGTGTGGCGCCCTATCCCCCTTCGCTCCCCCCGAGATCGGCAGGCGGCAGCGCGGGAGGGCGCGGGCCCTGCGCTCCTTCGGGCCGACAGTCCGCGCGCGCGCTCTTGCCCAGGCCGGGGGGGCCGCCCGCTCTCCGAGGGCCGAGGGCCCCCGGGGGCGCGCGGGGGCCGCCCTCCGCGGAGGGCCCCCGCGGGGGGGGGGGGGGCACGGGCCCTGGCGTTAAGTCGGGCGTGTCCCCCTTACATGGGGATTTTCGATTAACTTTAAAAAAAGAAAAACGCCCAAAAATAATCAAAACATAGTCTAAAGATAGTCTGGGGACTCTTTGTTGAGTATTGTTTGGCCTTCTTGGGGCATTTTTGGGGGTGCATTTTTTTTTTGCTCGTCGAAGTCCCCCTGTGGGGGGACACGCAGGTTTTATTGGTTTGGCGCCGGAAGGGGGCGTCGTTGAGAGGGTGCCTGGCACGGACGCGCGGAATTGACGATTCAATCGTCTATTCCCCGGAGAATATGGGAAAGTATGGGAAGTGTGGGGGAAGACAAAAGCCCGGAAGATGTGGGAATCTGTGGGGCATCGGGTTATTTGTGTGTGTGTGTTTATTTGTGTGTCCCAGGGCCCCTTCAAAAACACACAGACACAATCCTAGAAGAAGAAAAAACAGCCACGCGCAGAGGGGGGGTGGGGGGAGGGGGGAGGGCTTCATGGAAGCACCCCTGCTTCTCAGAAGCCGCGGGCCTTATCTAACTATAACTGAAATACCGGCGCCTTCTGAGAAGCAGCCTTTTTCTGAGAAGCCCTTTCCCCCTCCCCCCACCCCATTGTGCGCGCGCGGCGCCGGAGGCGCCGCTGGGGGTGGCCCAGCGCAGCACAGTGGCGGATATTGGCCAATGTGTGTGCGTGTTGTGTGTGTGTGTGTGTGTGTGTGTGTGTGCATGAGCTGGTGGATCACTTGGGCATCTGCATGGAGCTCTCTGAGAGTTAGCGTTTGGCCATGTCTGTGTTGCCTACGAGCCTCCCTGAAGACCCCTGGGCAACCTGGGGCCGTCGTGGAGCCCCTCTGACTTCCTGGAGACCCCTTGGCCATCATGGAGCCGTTCTGGATTGTATCAGGAGGCGGATGGGAGGAGGAAAGCGGGAGGAGGAGGAGGAGGACGGCAGATGAGGATTAGAAGATGCAGCCAAAGCAGGATTTCTCGTGGGAGCGGAAGCAGGGTTCAGGCAGAAGCCATGTCTTTTGTACGCCTTCTGCACTCAGGACCACTTGCGAAGGGCGGTGGCAAAGACTGGTCTGGCTCCGCTGGTGCCCAGGACCGCTGGGGGGGCGGACAGGACAGGGCTGCTCGGCCTCTGGCACTCTTGAGGTTCAGGCAGCACGGGATCGGGAGCGACTGGATGGGAGGGGGAGATGTAACCAGCCTCGAACTTATCCCTATCCCTAAGATTGACACGCCCAAAGGCAATGACAATCTTAGGGATGCACCCCCAGAATCTGAGGGAATCCCTCAGATCGCCATCGTGACGAGGCGATGCCCAACATAGGGATAGGGATAGGTTCCAGGCTGGTAAAGATGGAGCTTGCAAAGCACGAGCAGGAGGGGCGGGAGCAGGAGGAGGATAGAGAAGGAGGTCGAAGGAGGAGACGGCGACGGCGGGGGGCGGAGGAGGAGGGGGGGAGCAGGGACAGGGGGGGGGGGGGGGGGGGGGCGAGACTCGTGGAGCAGCGCCAGGGCGCCTGCTGGGCGAGGAGGGGGGGCGAGGAGGGAGCAGCAGGAGGAGGGGGTGACGACGAGCTGCAGGGGGGACATGGCGGAGTAGCGCCGGGGCCCCCTTCGTGGCGGGGGGGGCGCCAGCGCAAGGGAGGGTCGGCGGTTCGACGAGAAGGGCGCGGTCGCCCCGGGGCGGGCATGACACGTACAGTCGGGGCCCCGAGGAAGGAACCCTTTTCGTTGGGGAGGGGCTCGGTGTTCCTTGTTTTTTTTGCAGTTCGCCTTTGGTTTTGCTGGGGGTTTCGATATGGCATCGAAGTTTAGCTTATGGAAAATAGGGGCCTCGTTCCTTATTTAGGGTTCCTTAGGTCAACGCCCCGACTGTATTCGCCCGGGAGTCTTGTCGAAGACATAGATCATCGGCTCTGAAAGGGCTCTCCCCTGGGCGATTCGCCCCTGGATACACGTAGTCGCCTCCTGGCTATTCGCCCCCTGGGCTATTCGCCCCCTGGCTATTCGCCCCCTGGCTACATGTACTGCTCTCCCCTGGGCTACTCGCCCCCATCGTCGCCGCTGGAAGGGAGGGGGGGGGCAGCGGAGCAGGCGGCAGCCGCGGGGGAGTGCGACCACGCGGGGAGGGGCCCTCGAGCTGCTGGGGGCCGCTGGTGTGCGGGGGGGGGTCCGCAAGGGGGGGCACGAACGGCGGGCACTCCCACGTCCGCGCCCTCGCGGTCTGGAGCTCGGGCGCGCTTCCGCGGTCACGCGGTCGCACGGATACGCTCCGCGCGGGGCATCCGTGAGAGTCAGTACCGCTCAACCGATCCCCATCCCAATCCCCTTCGAGACCCCCGCCAAATTACCAGCCCAGCTGGGGATACACCCTTCGAAACCCGAAGGGAACTGCCTATATCCCCAGTCAGGGGGGGGGTAAATCGACCAGTGGGGCCCAGGCCACGCCGCTGGGGATGAGGATCGGTTAAACGATACTCAGAGAAAACAGGCCCCCTCACCAATGAGGTTGCGGTGCGGCCCACGGGCCCAGCCCGCGAGGAAGTCGACAGGGATGTGCGCCCCACCCGCGAGGGAGAGCGGGGTGAGGACTCATTCTCTGTCTCGAGGCTTTGCGAGCACCTGGCGCCACTCGGGGCTGTGCATCTCTTCTCGGCGCGGACCATCCAGGAGCCTCCTGGACCAGCCGGCAAAAGCAGCGCCCAGGAAGCCAACGAGAGTGCACGGGGCATGGACACGTCCGAGCGAAGGCGAGACCATATGGAGCACGGCGCGCGTGGGTCGGAGACGGGCCTCGTTTTTCCGTTGCAGCGCCGGCGCGCTTCGTCGCCGAGTCGGGCGGCACGGGCGCCACGCCTCCAGGGTACACGCCAGTCGTTGAAAGCAGGTATTTTTTGGCCTCCTCCTCCTCCTCCTCCTCCTCCTCCTCCTCCTTCGCCTTCTCGATTCTCGACAGGGAGGGCGGACGGCTCCTGCTTGGATCGGAGCTGCCTCGGTCGGCTGGCAGTGGCCAGATCATGCAGCACCTCGTGGCGATGCAGACAAGTCGGAAGAGGAAAAGGTACCCATACACGCCGGTCGTTGAAAGTAGGTATTGTTGGATTCCCAGATCCCAGTCTACTTCAAGCGCCGTCCTACTTCAAGAACCGGCATGCTTCTGCCGTGTTTTGTTATTCCCTGGGGTTGCCTGGACCCCATCAACTGAATCCGCCTTCCTACTTCATGCTTCTACATACTTCATCCGACCGACGTGTATATGTTTGTTCTTGTTCCCCGGTCCGCGGACTTGGCGCCCACGCCTCCAGCAGGGGTCGACCCAAGCAGTGGTTTCGTGTTAGAGTTTCTGTCTTCATTTTCTGGTGTTTTTGGCTAATTAGTTCGTTGGCCGTTTTCGGTTCGATTTCGTGATGCAGAAAACTTCAGAGTGAAGACAGAACGAGGGAGAGCGAAATCGAAACGAAAACACAAAGTACCGTTTGGGTTGATTCCTGCCCGATTCACGTTTCTTGGTATCAGGGTGTGTCGTGGGGTGCGCAGGGGGAGCGGGGGATGATTCACTTCCTTGGTGCGTTGAGGGCTCGCAAACGGGGACGTCCCCGACAAATGTGGGGAGTCATCGTGATGAATCGTCGCATGAAGGTCGCTGGCTCCCGCGACCGACTGGCTGACTTCTTCTGCCAGACGTCTGATCAACAGTGTCGTGGGAGTCAACTCGCGCGCCGTCTGGCGCAAGGCTTCTGACCTGACCTGACCTGGTGCACTGGCACGCTTCAAACTCTTTACTCAGCCCTGGCGCCAGGAATCTGTAGTCTTACACCTCAGGGACAGCCCAGGATCGTCCAGCGCTCCTCGTGGAAATCGTCGAGCTTCGATTTGACGACAACATCTGGGGTAAGTTTGAAGACGCCACGATACGATGGCGATATAGCCAATGCGCTCGAGGAGGTAAGCATGAAACCCGAGAAGCTTCATGTTTTCGCTCGGGCGTGTTCGTGGGGGAGAGAGTGGAGGGAGCAGAGGGTGAGAAGGCCAAGACACCTGACGTTGTGTTTTTCCAGCCCCCAGAAGACCTGACCTTTTCCTTGCAGAGTTGGTTTTTCATCCCGAGTGGTTTCTCGTCCGCCTTGAGAGGCCCGAGGGCCCCCAGTGACCAAAAACGCAGAGACCTTCCCGTCGGAAGGACCGCTTTGGGTTTGGAAGGAGCTCGCGGTTCCTTAGGTCGTCCCATGGTTGTCTCTCGAGCCCCCCTCGTGCACCCAGGCTCTCCTCGTGCCAGACAACGGGCTTCGTTGCTCATGTAGAGTACCTTGTTGCAGCCGCTCGACTGTATTGCGCGACGCCAGGGGGCATGAGTCGGCGGCGAACGAGGGGGGGAGTGGGAAGGAGAAGGCCCTCTCAGAAGGCGGAGGGATTTCTGGGAAGCCCTCTGGCCTTCAGGTTTTCTGCATCTTCGGGGAAGGCCGATGAAACTTCTCAGAAGGCCGGGGGAAGCCCGAGCCTTCTGAGAAGGCCCGCCCTTTGTCGCTTCCCCCCCCCCCCCGTGCTTGACGCCGAATGAGGACGAGGGGATGGCGGCGAGGAGGAGGAGGACGAGGAGGAGGAGGAGGAGGAGGAGGAGGAGGAGGAGGAGGAGGGAGGAGGAGGAGGAGGAGGAGGAGGAGGAGGACGAGGAGGAGGAGCAGGAGGAGGAGGGAGAGGAGGAGGAGGAGGAGGAGGAGGAGGAGGAGGAGGAGGAGGGATGGCGGCGAGGATGAGGCGTGGGTGGCGGCGCGAGGACTGGGGTGGCAAGAGCGGCGACTTCGCCATGGCCAAGGCCGCCTCCGCGGCGCTCGCGTTCAGCAAGGCCCGGCCGCCGTCCCCCGAAGAGGGGCTGCCGGCCAGGATACGGGGGCGGCAAAGAGGGGGGTGATGACTAGGGGGGGGTGGATATCATGGCGGGGGCCATGATATTTCCCCAGATTTCATGGTGCCTCCTCTCATTTCATTACGTCCCTGGCCCCCCCGCTGGGCCGCGCACGTGCCGCCGGTCATGATTTGCACCCCCCCCCTCTTGGACGCCCCCCTCTTGGCCGCCCCCGAAAGATGGCGAGGGTGGGCGCCGGGCGGGGGGGGTGACAGTGGGAACCCATGCCAAGGAACACCCGCCCCCTCCTCCTCCTCCTCCTCCTCCTCCTCCTCCTCCTCCTCCTCCTCAGCCGCCGTTTCCTGCTCCAGCCTCATCCTTCGCGGCCCAGCAGGCAGCCCACGCAGAGCAGCTTCCGCCCTCAGGGCACCCTTCATGTCATGGCAGCGCGGCTGGCCATCCATATTTCCTCGCTGGCGATCTTCTGGATGACATTCATGCGGTGGGGCGTGTACAACCCGCTCAGCATGGTCGCGCCGTTAAGAAGCATGGAGATTTCGAGACAGTTCAGCGCGGTCGACGTCGTCATGTTACCAGCCACTCGTTGGAGGCAGAACGACCCCACCAGCCCCGTCGACCAGCTCCAGACCTACACGCACCGCATCTTCACGTGGGGCTACGGCAGAGGCCCTATCACCAACAATCACGCGGGCGTGGCCACTATGATCAGCAACCGCTACCGCCTCAAGTGCGTGACCGAGCTCCCCAGCCCGCCGCCGTGCATCCAAGGACGTGCAGGAGCGGTTTCCTTCGCCGAGGAGAACTCGACATGACCTTCATCGTTGCGTACCTACCTCCACGGTCAGGGCTCGCCAAGCACCACAACGCCTGGGTCAAGACGGTCAACGAGACGCTCAAGTGGATCAACAAGACCCTGAACGAGACGCCCACCAGGAGCACGCCGATCATTGGCCTCGACCTGAACGACCACTACGGCCAAGACGGATTGCTTCCTGCCGCGCCCAGCAACGTGACCGGCGACGCAGGCCCTACAGGAGTACCTGGCGGGGCAGCCGCTGCCTTCCACAACATGTTCGACGTGCACGGCATGTGCATCCTTAACACCTTCTGGAATGCGGGGCCCACGTACTTCGGAGCCCAAGGACAGGCCACACGTCCCGACTACATCGCAGTGCCTCAAGGACTTTGCCCACACATCACTTCTTGCAGAGTCTGGTGGCGAGCGGCCAAGGCACTACGACTCATCAGTGACAACGTGCCCCGCGACCACGTCCCACTGATTGCAGCCGCCAACGTCATCATCCCGAACGTGTTCACATATCCCAAGAGGACCGTGTGGGACTACGACAAGATGGCCCTGGCCCTGCAGACGGGCAAGTACCGCAAGGAGTTCAATGACGCGCTGGAGTTCCATTTCGGCAAGCACCAGGACAAGCTGAAGGAGCTGGCAGGGGACAGCACAGCTGACGAACACTGGGAGCTCATCGTGAACATCATGAAGGAGGCAGCCAAGCCCTTCTTCGAGCGACAGAAGTCCAAGCCAGACCAGTACTACCAGCTCATGGAAGAACGTTTGCGGCTACTTCAGGAGCGCGCCAAGCTCAGAGAAGAGTACATCGGGACCGACCCCAACTACGAGATTGAGTACCAGTTCGAGGTCCTCTCGCGCGCCCTCAAGAAGCAGAAGCGCCAGCACGAAGCCGAACGAAGACAACACTTGGAAGAGCGCATATACGAGGCTTGGCAACGACGACAACACGCTGAAGTACACCAACTGTCTCGACCCCTTGCCGGCACCAGCTACTGCAAGGGCAACCGCAACTACAGCCGCGCGACCAGAACTCGCCCCAGCTTGCAGGAGTGGGCAGATCACATTGCACAAGACGGCCAGCACGGAGGGTTCAGAGCTCACAAGATCGACCTCGAGCAGGAGAAGCGCATCTTGAAGGAGACCACATGCGAGTTCACCACCGAGCGCAACCTGCAAGTTCGCCAGGAGTACGAGGACGCCAAGGACGGCATCAAGCGAGCACTCTACGGCGTCACCAAGCGGCTCAAGTACTTCAAGAAGCGCGCCTTCGTGCCAGACTGGTCACTGCCCGCAGAGATCTCCCAGGTGACCCCACAGCCCGCCAACATCACCAAGCAGAAGTCGAAGACGACAGGCGTGGGATACGATGACGAGCTCGCTGAGGCTCCCCTCGCGCAGGAGAGCTTCGAGTCAGTCCTCAACCACGTGTACCGCGTCGGCTTCGCCCCCCTCAACGCCCGCCACAGCCAGAGCTTCGCTCTCGACAAGAAGAACGGCAAGCCCAAGGTCCACGGCTTGCGTATACTCCACATGCTGTGCCCCTTCTGGCGCTGCTTCTACAGACAGCTCCAGTGCAAGTCCAAGCCGTGGTCACCTCCTCCCCATGCTCGCGGCTGCTGGCCTCATAGGCGTCGCGAAGTCCCCATGGCAGCCTCCCGCATCGTCGCCTACCGCCTGCAGAGGGTTAAAGCAGACTTCATCGTCGGCAGCAAGGACGCCACCAACGCTTTCCCCAGCGCCAAGAACGACAAGGCCATCAGTACCACCCCGACCGCACGCAGCGTAACAGAACAGCGTCTATTTCACCAACGCTACCAGTGCGCCAGCGTCCAGATCGACGGGTTCGACTCCGCAGGCGACTTCTGCCTTGGCTCAGGGGTCATGCCAGGCTGCAGCACAGGTCCGACTTCCTTCAACTTCGTTTATGAGTATCCAGTTGGACAATGGCTCGAGGCGACTCCGCAGGACACCGCCCCCTTCGCGGCCGCGTCACCCATCACGCACGCCCTGCTCGACCTTTCCGTCTACCTGTACGTCGACGACATATTCGAGATGCACCTCGTCCCATCCGGCGCCGCGCGGGACGCCGCCTCGGCTCTCGCCAACAGTAACACCATCCTCGATCAGTGCCTTGCCGAGTACGGCTTCCACCAGAACAGGGGCAAGGAGGAGATCGTTGGAGGCCTGCGCACGCGGAGGGAGAACCGAGCCCTAGCAGATCAAGTCTAAGGTCGAGTCCTCCGCACCCTTAAGTACCTGGGCGGCCACTTCCACCGCGGCGGCAGCAACGCCATCGAGATCGACATGCGCATTCAAAGCATCAAGCGAGCCCGGCGCATCAGGGGAAAGTTCTGGCATCGCAAAGTACCGTGGCGCCTCAAACGTATCATCTTCATTAACAGGGCGATCGGTGCTGCAACCAGCGGCATGGAATCCTACCTCCTCAAGGACACCGAATACAAGCGCCTCGACGCCGTCATTGCCACCTACACACGCGCACTCATGCAAGGCAAAGCCTCTCACATTGACGAAGCGGGCATCTACCGCACCTTGGCCAACAGCGAAGTGTTCAAGCACTGCCGCCTCCCCCCGATGTACATTGAGCTGCGAGTGCGGAGGCTGCGCGTGATTCAGGCCTCAGTCAAGTACCCGACAGATTACGATCAGTGGCTCACTGCACTCTTCGGCTCCACCATGTTCGAGATCGGCTACAATCGTGAGCACATCGGAGAGCTTGGCGACAGTGGGCATCTCATCGCTGGCGCGAACCCCATGGCAAAGCATCACTACAACGACGTCCTCTCCATCCTCGAGTTAGACAGCGCCGAGGAGTTCAGCTGCGCATGGGACGGGAGCACTTCTCAACTGTATTACGACGCAGAAGTTGCAGCGGTTTTCTCGACGTGGCAGAGCTCAGAGCCAGGGCAACAGCAGTAGCGATTCCACCCCTTGGTTTCGAGCCTCAACCACACGAGCAAGACCAACGAGCAGGAGGCGAGCTGGGTTACTACAAGTGTGACTTGTTAACGGACGCGGGACAAGTCTGCGGCCGAGTTTTTCCTACATGGACAGCGCGCTGTACCCATCAGACCGCGACAAAAGGAGGAGAGCACGGGCTCCGATCAGCAGCTGCAGCAGTCACCATCACCAATCAGTGTCCGCTCTGTCGCACTACGTTTCTCGATCGAGCCCAAGCCGAAGATCATCTGTTGCGATCTCTCAAACACAAGCGCTGCATCGCCGACAACACCAGGCTTCACTTTCCGTTGGTATCGATCGAGAACCCAGTCTGTCCCCTCTGCCCACACCTACATCCGTTTGCGCACCTCTCAAGCTTCCAGGACCACGTTTGCACGCATCACCTCCCCGCCGCAGAACACGAGATTTCAATCGACATCGGCCTGTTTCAGGATGACTTGGTGCGTGCCAAACGACTTGGACATCGCGGAGGTGGCGAGCGGCATGGCGGACGCGGATCGCCCCAGCAAGCAGCGCAAGACTACGCACCCCAAGGGCAAGGGCGGCCAGCACAAAGGCGCAAAGGTAGAGGGAAAGGACGCGGACGGGAATGCCCATATGCAGGACAAGGGCGAGGAAGAGGAGCAGGGCGTGGCAAGTCTTGCAGCAGCCGCAGCTTCAGGCCAGCAAGTACGACGCCAACAACGAGGGGGAGAAGCCTACCAGACCAAGTGCGACCACAAGCTGAAGAAGTTGCTCGCAGTGCTGATCAAGCAAGTGCTGGCCAACGCGCAGCAGATCGCCTGGGTCGTTTCCGCGGTATACAGCGCGTACCTGATGCCGGCCCAGACCAGGGTGATCCAGGCGCTCCGAGCCTGCAGGAAGATCTACGCGGACAAGTGCAAGGAGGCGGGCAAGGGGCACTCGCTGGGACCTCCAGAAGGACACCTCTACGTCGCGCTTATTTCGACCCTCTGCTCCGAGGACGTGGGCGCCAATACCAAGAGTATTCTCACAGAGCACGGGAAGTTCGTGGACCAGGCCAGCGTGGCGAACGTCCTCAACAAGGCGAAGCACCTGAAGATCAGCAAGTGCTACGACAGCAACCAGGCGAAGATCACACTGCATGTCGAGCAGGGGCCCTGGGCCGATGCGGAGGCCGAGGGGGGTCCTTCAGAGGAGCAAAAGCAGCAGAGCAACATCAAGGACA